CATTACAGGTATCCTAACCCAATCATTAGTAACAGTTGCCATAATACAAATATTACATAGGTGATTATCCAAATTTTTGTCATTGATGGGATTTGAACACCCAACCTACCACTTGGAGGGTTGACAACCTGACCACTTCACTAGGTCATCACACCCTATTATCTTGTTTGTAAGTACAATAAGTCTCAATCTTTATTATAAAAAAGAACACCATGTTGAAATTTAAATGCAATATCAAGTTATATATGATATTAAGACCTAAGATATTTACAAGAATGGTAACAGCAAACCTGACTTGAAATACAAATTAATCAAAAAGATCAATAACAACAGCAGGTCTGGTTTGAGATACAGGTTCATTACAAATTCTGGACCATTATTAGAATACCTTAGAAGAATCAATAACAAGCATACCAAAGATAGAAGATCATAAGGATCACACATATCTAAGTAGGATCAATTTGAAAATAATACAATAACAAAAAGGTGAGAAATATAAGAAACAAGATAATACTAAATATAGTTAGATTAGGAGACAGAAGAAACATAACCAGGTAAAACATATGAGTGATACACATAAATATAATTTATAGAAAATAGTACTTCTGACATTTAGGATGCTGTATTAAGTTCAGAAGGTATCCTTGTCTGTGTAGTGATTTAATGATGTGTCCTGACCACAAGTAGTTGTCAAGATAACTGCATGCAGGCATGTGACAGACATGCACTTAGGTGCCATAAGGGTAACCGGGTGAAGTCAGTGATATAAAATTAGATAGTATATAGTACTAGTAATAATCGATCCTAAAATATAACCGTAAATTTGTACTATATCAAAAATTAAAGCTAATAAACCGACTGGCATTGTCGCCAAAGTTTAAAAAAAAAAAATTACAAATTTTTACAAAATAGTAAATTATAATTTAAATTTTTATTTTAGCTTAGAAATAGATAAGTATAATAAAATTTTATATAATTAAAAATAAAAAAAAAATTTTTAGTAGGAAAATTTGCCACAAGACGGTTTAAAAAATAATTTTTTAATTGATAATATTTTTATTTTTATTATAAATCTAATTAAAATTTCTTATTTGATATTTTACATATTTATAGAATTCAAATAAATTTTTTTTTAAATTAGATTAAATTGTTGTCAAAATCTTTATCAGACGTTTTAAAATTTGCTAAATATCAAATATAAAAATAAAATTTCTAAATTAACTAAAATCTTTCAATCAAGAATCTATATAAACAGCTAATATAAACAATTGTAAATCCAAATTAGAACTACTAAAAAAGACATCAGATTATTAAAATCTAAACAACCTTTTAATAAATTGACATCAGAATTCATTTGCATATTGAAATTTGTCCAAACCAAACATCAAAATATAAGCAATCACTTAATAAAAATTCGTAACATTCATTGAGTTATTTTTGAAATTCTGGTTAGGAACTGGGTCATATGTTGGGTGCCAACAAAAGCCTTTTTTCAGTAGGTTCAACCATTGAACCAAATAGGAACAAAATACGGCATTATTTACAAAGTAATTCATTTTTTAATTAAATTAAATAACTTCTATATTATGAATGGTCAAATAATGCAGAGCTCATGCCCATGAAAAAAACACCAAGAAAAAAGAAAAAGCTCACTATTTGACCATCTTTTGTATCATGTTTGATTGCTTGTGGTAACATTCCCTGTATGAAATAAAGAAGTCAATTAATTGATTGAAGACAAATGTTACTATAAAGACAGAAAAACTTAACACCACAAACATTGATGGAAATAACAGTCATTAAACCACTGGTTGCGGCAAACAAAGCTCCATAGATGAAGTTGTGATTCCAACAACCGAAGAACGACTCGTTTAGAAATATCCAGCCAACTAGTGCACCTAATGGTTGACTAAGACCACCCAAAATGCTAGCGTATAAAAAAGCTTTTATTCGTGAACGTGTTGCAATATATATAGGGAGAGCAATAGTGAGACCTTCTATGATATTATGTAAAGCAATAGCTGCGAATAGGGCAAAGCCAAGGGAACGAGATACTTGAGAAGAAACGAAAGTTATAAGACCCTCTACAAAAAATCAAAGATAAATTTAGATTCTCACGATTGGCAATAATAATCAAGGTTAAGGTCATTGGTCAAATAGCCAGATAAATTAGTCAAATCGACAGATTTGTTTTCTAGTCAGAAAATTTAATATTTAATAATTTTGCCAGACCGGAAATCAGTCAAAATGGACAAGGATTCATTAAATATTGACCAAACCTAACTGATAATCCAAATACCTGGAAATTTATGAATAGAGATTGCTAAAGCAGTTTGAATGCCTATTTGCATTAACTTTGCATTTTCTTGATCGGATCTTGAATGCGGATTTTGAAGGTCGTGATGATGATGAAAATCTCTATCACAATGACCATGGGCAGAAGGAATGGCAGGTTCATCAGTGTCGCTATCCACAACAAAAACGGCGTGCCTGTCTGAGCTGTTGGCCTCATTGAAATCCTGTATATTGCAATAGCTATTTTTAGATATATCATCAGTGCGTTCGTCCAAGTGATTTTTTAACAACGGCGAATCTTCGTTAAGATTATCGACAAAATTTAAACTATTCATTTTTGAAATTTTGCGTATTGGAGTATTATTGTGGTGGTGATGTTGGTGGTGATGATGAAAGTGGAAAGAATCGTCCGCCACGAAATAATGAAGCAAACGATTGATCAAAACAGATCCAACAACGCCCAAAAAGTAAAAGCCGATCATGTAGAAGCCAGAGTATTCGCTTGAGATTTCACCAGCTACAAAGTGTTGCCTTGACTCATGTAACAAGGTAAAAAAGCTTGAAAATAGCTGAAAAAATTTATTTATATGAGAAAGTTTTTTTTAGAAGTATAGTTAATTTTTAAATAATACGGTACCAATACTCCTGATCCGAGTGCAAATGATGCAACCATAAAATCTAAGTTTTGTTTATGTTTAATGCCCTTTAGCTTTGGAATAAAGAAGTTTGAAAAGACTGCGGAGGCTGAAGCAGAAATATATAAATATATATCAACAAAGAAATTGTAAAAATAACATTTGACAATTCAGGTTACATTCAATAAATTTCAACATACCTCCTATGCAACAAGCAAAACCAGAAGCAATTGCCAACAGCCACCCTTGGAGATTGTTGCCCTGGTCAGGTGTCATAGTACATTTATACATATTGAAATGCTTTTTCTCAAATAAAAACTATACAGCAATGAATTCGCATACGACAGAGAGTTTTTCTAACACTGAACTTGAAGAATTTTACGAAAATGTAAAAAAATTTCTATTTAATTTTATTTAATTTTAGCTGTTAGAGTCGAAAAAATATGCAAAAGAATGAAAACCTGGAAGGTACACATTATGTACCTCACAAGTTGCAAACCAAAATGTGACAGGGTCGATTGAAAGATTTGGATCTCCGTATTGGTGGATCACAAAATTCCGAGTTATGTGTAACTTCCGATTAACCAAAGATGGGAATTGTCCCCCCACCATTTAGGAGACCAGATATTTGTTTGAGTACCTCAAAGGTTAACTTTGTGCATTCATTTTAAAAGTAAGTCTCAAGCCAAGGTTGGCAACGATATTGCCAAAGTCAAGTAATTTGCATATTCTTGCTTTTTTTTAATTTGTATAGTGCGTAAATTGAGTAACTCATTCTATATCGATATGTGTACATACGTACACACGCAGAAACTCTGAATATGCGAATTGTTGCATCGTGAAGAACCGAAACAAACTTAGATTTTGGATTGAATTCGGTTAAGTTTAAGTATTACAATGAATTCTAAATTGTGGATCAAAAAGGTTGATTTTAGGTTAGCAATAATTCGAGTACTTTGGTGACATTAGTAATCGAACTATTATAAATAGCCGCTGATTTCAAGATTCCGGCTATTTTTAACTCTCATATACAATTGTTTACACAAGCACTTCTATTATATGTTTATATATACTTTTGTGTTAATAACTAACAATCGAAATTTTGCAAGTTTACCAATTTTTAGGGTCTTATTATTGCGTCCGACAAATGAAAGCTCAGAAAAAAATTTAAAAAATGAAATGAAATAATTTTATTATTACGAGAACATAAATTTCAAACCAGATTTCCTATGTATAATATCGATATCAAAAAAGGGGGTGTGTGAATACCTTTTTTTATATTATGACATATATAAAAAACATTGTTTAATATATACATTATTTATACTTTGCACCAAAATAGTCACTCCATTCTATAAATGGCGTATACGATAACGATTTCAACACCGATGAGTATTAGTAATCAATAATTTCATGCAATTTTGTGATAATCTGCGACGCTCAAGAAATGAGTAAAAACTATCATAGGCGTGCATGGTTACATAAAATTTTTAGAGACTATGTACTGTGTACTTATTTTTTATGGAAACAATTCATTTCGGAGATAGTAAGTAGTACTGTACGATTATACAAATATGTACGGACGTACGAAAATTGAGTAAAATTTTGATAGTAAGTACGGTTAACCTTGAACTCATACAGGGGGATCCCCAAAATTCCGGGTCGGAATACATCGGAATCATGATCGGCAGGGCCGGAATTAACT